CACTTGGGAGGCTGAGGCAGGAGACTCGCTTGAGCCCAGGAGTTGGAGGTTGCTGTGAGCTGTGATGCCATAGCACTCTACCAGGGTGACAGCTTGAGGCTCTGCCTCAAAAAAAAAATTTTTAAACTGATATCCAATAAAAATCATACCAGAAAAGCAGTCAGAAGATGTGGCAGACAGGGAAATGATATTTTCAATCTGGACTGACAAGGGCCACTTCACAGAAGAAAGACAACCAATGGATAATGGGCAAAGTTATAAGAAATGCAAACTGCCAACACATGGCATATGCTCAGTGTGAGAAGATACCATTTGCTTCACCTATTAGAACGACAGAAATTTGAGTTTTCTTACTTCTAAACCTGTCATTGATAAGGAAGCTAGCAGTCTCACATATTGCCAGCCAGAGCGTAAAAAAATTGGAATATCCAATATATACCTATAACAAAAGATGAACAGAAGTCACATCTGAGCACCTCTTATAACTGCAGAAGTCAAATGTGACTTGAGTATTAAATTTTAATACAATTTTTTTCCTTTCTTAAATTCCTCATACTTTTTTTGGCACCCTCTGTACATAACTCAATAATCTGACAATTAAGTATTTATCTACAAAGTATACCAAGATATAAAACATCCATTGCAGGATTGTTGGCAATTTCAAAAATTAGAAAACAACTCTGGAAGGCCAAGGTAGGTGGACTGCCTGAGCTCACAGTTTCAAGATTAGCCTGAGCAAGAGCAAGACCCCATCTCTAAAAATAGCCAGGCGCTGTGGCAGGCATCTGCCACCTACTTGGGAGGCTGAGGCAAGAGAATTGCTTAAGCCCAAGAGTTTGAGGTTGCTGTGAGCTCAGATGCCACAGCACTCTACTGAGGGCAACAAAGTGAAATTCTGTCTCAAAAAAAAAATTTTTTTTTAGAAAACAACCAAAATGTCAATCACTACAGACAAGTTAAGTAAATGCTGGGATACACATACATGTTATTAAAAGAATAAGGTGGGTCTGAATTGTTTGTGCTGGGTGAAGGTGGCGATACTGGTGATGTGGAGAAGCACAGAGAACACTAGGTGCTTTCAACAGAGGCAGGGACATAAAGACATCCTCACAGCATACATCAGATTAGAAATAGGAGGGGACTTTTACTCATCATCCTGTACCATTTATGCCTAAACTAAATTCTTTGTGGTAAAGAAATATTCTTTTACTCCTAGTTTGGTAGTTTTATTTGCTTGTTTTATGTTTTTGAATCTGGAATATTGAATTTTACAAATACTTTTCTAGCACCTATTGAGATGATCATAATGCTTTCCATGTAGACCTATCACTATGAGGTTTTTTTTGTGTGTACTTTGTTTTGTTTTGTTTTTTTTGAGACAGAGTCTCACTGTTTTACCCTTGGTAGAGTGCTATAGCATCATAGCTCACAGCAACCTCAAACTTTTGGTCTCAAGTGATCCTCTTACCTCAACCTCCCAAGTAGGTGGGGCTACACACACCAGCAACAATGCCAGACTATTTTTAGAGATGGGTTCTTGCTCTTGCTGAGGCTGGTCTAGAACTCCTCAGCTCAGGCAATCTACCTGTCTTGGCCTCCCAGAGTACTAGGATTACAGATGTGAGCCACCTCACCTAGCCTTTTTTCTTAAGATAGGATCTTGCTCTGTCACCCAAGCTGGAATGCAGTCGTACAATCACAACTTTACTACACTTTACAAATACCATATTTTTTACAAATTGGTTATTCCTGGCAACCCTGTCTCCAGTAAGTCCACTGGTGCCACATTCGCAGCAGCATGTGCTCACATCTTGTCTCTGTGTCACATTTTGGAAATTCTCACAATATATCAACTTTTTCATTACTGTATCTGTATGGTGATCTCTAATCAGTGATTTTTAATGTTACTGTTATAACTGTACTGAGACACCACAAACCAGAGCCATATAAGATGAGGAACTTAATTGATAAATGTTTCTGCCTTCTCTACCTGTAGCTGTTCCCCCATGTCTCTTCCTCTCCTGGGGCGGCCCTATTCCTTGAAACATAACAGTATGGAAATTAGGATAATGAACAAGCCTACAACAGTCTCTAAATATTCAAGTGAAAGAATGAGTGGCACATCTCTTCCTTTAAATCAAAAGCTAGAAGTGGCTTGGCGCCTGTGGCTCAAGTGGCTAAGGCACCAGCCACATACACCTAACGTGGCAGGTTCAAATCCAGCCTGGGCCCGCCAAACAACGATGGCT